AATATGAATAATTGTTGTTGTTATTTAATGTATGTATTTTTAATATTGACGTTTATATAGTTTATCGAGAGTAGTATAGGTACCACGAAGGTAATGCACACTGTGACATCAAATCAGTGTCAAGTCCTTTGATGCGACCAATTGTGCAAACAACGAACTACCGTCACCGCGTTTCTGTATGCTGTAAGTCGACTTCTTACTTCTATGAACGATCTGTATTGGTTTTAATTTTTAAATATAACCAACAATAAACGAAACAATGCGAATATGGACCATTATATTATATACCATCATTATAATATATCAGAATCACGTAAGTAAAAACATTTATAGGACATTTCTGCCCTGGCATATTTCCCCAGAAAAAAAAATATTAGCATACTAGGTACCTACTGCTATGCAATAGCAGGTCAGCATATTATTATATTATATAGGCGTAGTTATATAAATATTGAAAAATGGAATAAATAACTGTCAAAAATTAGTGAAATGTTATAACACGTCGTATTATATTCCAATTAAGTGGTGGAAATTTGGATGGAGTGTTTGTAGGAGTTGTATAGAATAATTTCCATGCGTCTTATATTTTCCATTTACTTAATTTGAATCGAACCAATCCAATATGAATTTGTTCTATTTGGAGACTTTCTTCATTTCGAGGTTTAAAATGTCCATGGTTGGGGGAGGGGGTATCCAGAAGGGAAAAATATCAATAGGATGGAAATATCCTGGCTGGAATGTCTTTCTTCCATAATGTACAAAATTATAGGCTGTTATATAATATGTGTATATTATGTTTTGTTGTGCAGGTATACTACACAGCCCCGGTGGGCAAGCAGGTGAGTACTTATTATTGCTTAAGATATATTTTCAAAATCAATCGCTAATTTGGAAGTTATATATTATTATTAATTATTAATAATATAATATGTATTAGCTATAATCTATTCATGTACATATACCATTGATTAATTACAGCTTTAATTAATCAATGTAAATATTAAATACCATGACCCTTGTGAACCTTGCAGCGCAATGATAACAGTCAACTTTTAAAACAGTCTAACAAATTTGTTAGAGAGTTGTTAGAGATTGTTAGACAACTTTCCAAGTTTGTTAGACTTTATTTTTGACGCTAGACCACTTTCATTTATTGCACTGCTAACTTCAAGACAGCAGCGCAAAAATTTGTTCGAACATTTTAGCGTCTCGGCTTGAAGATAGCATGGCAAAAGAAAAAAATTTCTTGCGTCGAAAATAAATTCTAAAAAACTTTTAAAGTTGTCTAACAATCTCTAACAAGCCGAGATGCGTTGTTTGATCGAAAAAAAAAGTTCTAACAAATTTTTGGGCTGCTGCCGTGAAGTTAGCAGTGTAATAAATGAAAGTGGTCTAGCGCCTACTTAGGTACAAAAAAAAAAAAAAAAAAGGTACCTATATAAAGTTATTGAATTCAAAAGATGTAATATATACATCGTACCATATTTGATTATAAATACAATAGTTGAACTTGATTAAAGTGTTAAACTGTATACCTAGTGGCAGGGTCGTGCCATAGGGGGGCAAAGGGGCTTGTGCCCTGGGCGCAAATTTTAAGGGGGTGCCAAAAAGTTATTTGACCATCGGAATGTTTTAATAATATTAATATAGGTACTATACAGAAAATAGTAATATCTTAACAAATTATCTCTAACAAAATATGGTTTTGTTTTCAAAATTGTTTAAGTACAATATTCATTATCACAATCGTTCGTATATTATTAGTATAGTATCATATAGTATAGTGTAGTTATTACCAAATTATCGTCTTTTTTATCTTGATTCACCACTTTGAACAGTTTTCAATATAATATGTTAAAATCAATATTTTACAAATATTTCTTTTATCATTCTCTATATATAGTACAAATTTAAAAATATTTCCTCTCGTTTAAAATTATTTCTAGGCATTTAAAATAAACACCCCCCCCCCCCCTTAAATAATATAAATACCCTTCAACCAATCGCCCAATTTATATTATTATATTTTATACTCTATGCACACAATGACATTTTAAAATGTACCTAATTTTTTTGACAAAAATAAAGGTATAAATCTACTTTACCGGACACCCTTTTTGTTTTTATTTTATTTTTTTCAAAATAAGTGGTTTTTTATGCTGAATTCAAAAGTGTTTGATTAAATTTCTGGAAACTTACCCTTTAAAAGTTATAGCAATTCAAAGTTGTCGATATTATAAAATATGCTATAAATAATACTAACTTAGTATATACATTAGATAATATTGTTCGTCGTAGCGAGCAAGTGACCACGCTTAATGGCAATAAATGTACTTAGAAACAATATTCAGGAAAACCAAGGCTCACCTGAGGTGGTTTTACACAACAAGTCGAGGGATATTTTCGATTTGGGGATCGCAGGGACGGCGCAGAGGAGCATAGCGACGAGTGCCGATACACGCGTAATCACTGCAACTTTGAACTGCCATAACTTTTGAACAGTAAATATCCCGACATATTTTAAACTCTTTTGAATTCAGCATAAAAAACCAAGTATTTTGAAAAAAAAGGTTAAACTAAATATTATACTTAGTAACTACAACTTAATATTATATTATATTAAATAATGTAAAGTAGAATTTTTTCTTTTTCACTATCACTAATGGAAAATTAAAAAGTGACAATGAGTTACGTATTATATTGTTTTTTTTTAGTTTCCGTAATTTGGTTTTTGATTTCCTCCTGATATATCCACGGAATGCGATACGGACGAATAATATTTGTTTCGTTAACCGCGGTGTATTAATTTTATGCTTTACAACATCCGTCGGGGTCAATAGGTCCCCCTCTAGGTAAAATATATCAGAATATTCATTACAAATGCTTATAATGTTCATTTTTCCCCCATTATTTAAATGATCGGTTTTAATTGAATCGTTTAATAATTTTATTTGACCCGGATGACTTAGGTATATTTAACGGTTCGTTATCCTTGTTAATCAAAAATATATTATCCGTATACGGCTCCCATTTTAAATTACTATAGAAGTTAATTCATCAATAATAAACTGTTGTTCCGATATGTAAATTATATTATACTTATTATTTTATTGTCTCTCACCGGACTCAAACTGTTTGCTATTATTATAATTATTATTATCGTCGTTTATATCGTACTTTTTATCGCTACTATATTAGACCGTATTATCTCGTCGGCTTTAGCTTGTACCAGGGATTGGAGCCTTTTGAATTTATCGATATCTGTTCCGGTACCGGTTCTCCAAAAATAAAATAACGATTCCTGTTCGGTTTTGGTTCTTTGATGAAAAAAAATAAAGGTACCGGTTCCAAATAATTTAGGTTTTGGTTCTAGATAATTTCGGTACCGAAAAGTATAATAATTTTAAATAGCTATCCAGTATTCCGGAATCAGGTTTAATTAACAGTATGAGAAATATTAGAAAACTCATAATATGATCATTGATCATGCCATCATACATAGATTATACACAAAACCGTAATACCTTTAAATTATGATGAATAAAATTATTTTATTTTTGGACCTACAAGTAAGTTTTTAATTTGAAAATTCCTGTTTGGTTCCGGTACTTTATAAATTAAAATTAAGGTTCTTTTAGGTTCGGTTCCAGTCCCTGCTTGTAACACGCAATTACTGCGCGCAGGTATTATAATATATTCGACATTGTTTTCTATCGGTTCGGGTATAATTAGTACTCCTTTATCCCAATCTGTTATAACTTTATTATTTTTTAGAAAATTATATACCTAACCTAACCTGCTTTAGGTATAGGAAAATCTTTATATATAATATCGAATTTTACGTTTAACTTTTTGTCTTTAATGAACACGTCCACCACCATAGTTCCGATAGTTAATATAATAATCACGCTTCTTCCTTTTATATGTGGCTTTTCTACTTCATGAACGACTGTATTATTATGTTCTTTTAATATCGATATTTGATAATTTAGGAATATTCATGTCCTCGCCGTTATCGATCATTAATTTACCTTCACTAGGAGTTAAGTCTCTAGATCTACATAAAATGTGTTTGGCTTTCATTGGTGTTTTAATTCGTACATTATTTTATTTAATCTCGCCCATTGTACCTATGTGGTGTAGAATTACCTGAACTTCCTGAAGGCTCCCCCAAGGAATTATTTCTTTCTTTTAATTTCCGACATTCACTGATGTCGTGATTTTTTTAATTTAAAATATTTGCAAAATTTTATTTGGCCCGTATATTATTTTTTTAATCTCCGGTTTTTTATAATATTTTGTTCTAAAGTCCTACACTCATTAGCCTATTCGGTCGCACTGAAAACATTTTATCCCACTTTTATCGACACTCGGTCGATCACCCGTTTTTTTCAAATTGTTTTTAAAATTATTCCGAAAATTATTTTTACACTCAGGTTTCGCTGGCATTGTTGCTTTCGCAAAAACGGCCTCTTGTTCTATCGCAAGTAAAACGGCTTCTTCAAAATTATTAACATTACGCGAGAGAAATATTATTTTAATAGATTCATGTACTGCACAGTGCACCTATAAACACGCTTAGTGCATGCTCCTGTACCGACTGTGCGTGTATTTTGGCTTCCGCCGTGTTAATTCGTGATAAGCTTTTTCGATAACGCGTTGAGCCTAATCTTTTGTCGATTCAGACTGACCTAATCTAATCTCATTGTATTTAGTTGCCCACGTAAATATTGTAATGAATGGGACGTACTAAATATTGCTCCCAAATACGATTTAACTCTTCCCAACTACTAATTTCCCGATACCTAACAGTGTCAAAAGCGAAAAGCTTTACCCTTCAACTTAGTGAATACGGCACCAAAAATATCAGGTGTCATTGTATCAGGTATTTTAGAAAAAACAAAATCGCATGGCGAAATAAATGATGCTAGGTCGGTCTCACTCCCCCCTGAGAATTGGGAAGGAACCTCAATTCGGAAATAAAATCGAACTAATTAACCATGGTGTTTGGTGTTTCTTATAGATTCCCGACTAAGGTTTGATCTAAATTTACTAACACACTCGTATTGATTTTTCTGTCCCCTGCAGTACTCCCGGAACCCTCAGAATTTATCGTATTTGTTAAACCTGAATCTGATTCAGGTTCCTGTAAAGCTGGATCGTTTTCACTCCTTGTATACATCTACAGTATAAACTCTTAACTCACAACAGATTTAACTAAGTATATTTTAATATTAATAACTTACACTTGGACTTGGTCCATCCTGTTGGAGGTGAAAAGAATGCGTCCCTTGAAACTGCTTGGCTTCGTTTGGAAATCCTCTTTAGACTGAACAAGCTCTGCTGGCTTGGTGTGTTCGTGGACGTTGTCCCTTAAACTGACCGTTTCGGCTGGATTGAACGTTGAAACCAAATTGTTGTACAACTCGGCGTGAAAACTCTTGATGACGTTGAACTTGGTTCGTCGGTGGGTCTCGAATTACTTATATCGAAGAAATCAATTTTATTTCATTCGATATCCGAACCCTCACTTGACACCAAATTTGTGTAGAGATCGCAGTGAAGGACAAGTTGAACACTAATACAAATATTCAATAGTTATTTAACGACGTCACACGTTCGTCTTTGTCTTGAGTCGTTATTGAGAAAGATATGTAAATAATTATAAGCACTTTTTAGACTTTTAAATATGGCAATAATATAACACTTTATAGTTTATTATTAAAAGTTCCAATACAAAATAACTATAAGCACTGTCGTAAGCTTGTTAGACCTACGACGAGGACTGACTATCTTCGAAGTAATGGTAGGCGCTCTAGTGCTCTACCCGTATTTATGCGGGTTCTAACAATGACGTATTGGTGGGGTGATCTCTAGGTATATTCTAATTTTACTTCCCTAGTAATGTCGAATTGCATTATTGTGGGACTAGGTAAAACAACTTGTTGTTTTAACCGCTGATCCACGCTTCCCGTTATTTAGGCTTATTTTACATTGCATATTAATACATACATTACCCATTATAAATTATAATAAATGTATAGTTTATTCTACATTATATTCTTTAATATAATATTATAGCTGTGGGTATTAATACATTCCTAATATTGTTGAATTGCACTATCGTGTGACTAGGTCAAACGACTTGTTGTTTTCACCTTTGATCTACGCTTCCTCTTATTTAGACTTATTTTATATTTCATATTAATACATACATTACCACTCATAAATTATACTACTTACATGTATAATTTATTATTCTACGTTATTTTATTCAAAATAATATTATAGTTTTTGGGTTTACTACAAAAATGAATTTAACTGTTGTATCTACGAATGTAGTACAATATATTACGTTAATCACAATAATATGATCATCAAATATACTTAGTATTATTATCATAAGCGTAACTAGAGAGTGGGGGACTTAGATGGGCTTCAGCTTCCTCAGAATTTCTTAAGCCCCTATAAATTTTATTAGTAATTTACTTATTAAAAAAAAGATAGGGCTGAAGCCCCTCTCCTCCTAACTTTAAGGTCTAGTTACGACTATGATTACTATACTTAGGCCGCGGGCCGTATTCTTTATTAAATGATACATATTATAACAATTTTATATCATACATTCATACAACATACTTACATATATCTACCTACGAGGTAATTTTAAATAATATTTTTTTATTTAATTTGAAATAAAATTAATAATTTGAATATATGAAAATATGTAAGAATTTGTTGAATAAGGTAGATTTGTTCGCAATTTATTGACTGAAACAAATTGTGTATCTATATAGTTACATCACTTATTATCAGTGGTCGGGAGTAGCGCTCTAATTGTAGCGACTCTACAGTAGCACCATAGAACAATATAGAAGCGACACTCGATCAGCTGATTGGGGTATTGGTTACCTATGATCTGAAGTCTGAACCTACGAAAAACGCGGAATTGGTTCCACGCACCATCATGATGTTTTGTGCTACTTTAAGGGCCAGTTGTAGTAGTTGTACTGTCTATGATTATGGTTAATCAGAGTTTAATCGGCCGAATTTGCCCGTTTAAATATCTGTTATCAGCTGATTACGCTTAATCATAGTTTAATCATAGACGGTACAACTTTACTGGCCCTAAGCACTTTTAGCTGTAGCGATTAACATAGCGTCGCTACAGTATATACTATGTAGCGAAATACTATAGCGCGCTAGAAATTTACGGTTATCGTAGCGAAAATATTCATTATTTTATCGCTACTTCTAACTTCTAACCTATTTCATGATAATTAAAATATTATGATGTATGTTTATTTATTTAATTAAGATGACTAGATGAGTGTACCTATTTATGATTTTTTTCCCGGACCGGACCGGACTAATCAGCAATCATAGATTATAGATAAGACTATAATCATAAGTGCATTATTATAATGTTATAACTTATATTTTATATTATTGAATACAGAACCATAAATAATAAAAAAAATGTAGCGAAAAAGTAGCGCGCTACAGCAATTACGCTTTAGCAATAGGGAGCTACTTTTGGGGGGGGGGGGAGTTGCAGTAGCATTAGAGTGCTACAAAAAAACAGTAGCATCCCGACCACTGCTTATTATATTACCTATGTACCAACTCTTATGTTATTTTGAAACTATGAGAATTGTGTTTACTAATACTATATAAAAATATAAAATATAATATTCTTATTGTTTTGATTTTTAGGGAAGTGCTACAAAAGGTGAATTGAAAACGGTAATATACCAAATGATAAACATTTTTAAAAATTATTATTGGTTTTAAATATGATAAGGTTTTGAATAATTAAAGTAAAAAAATTCGATAAATTTTCAGTGATTTAAAACGTTTAGATAATTACATAACTACTGATAGATAATAATAATAGGTTTTAATTTTAGATAGTTGAAATAATAAAAATGATTTGAAGAAATAATATCGATATTAAAATATTGTCCTAAGTAATAAGTATTTTAGGTTAGTTAGAATAGTCTTAAGTGGCTAGGCGTCGCCACTACAATTTCGTACCTACCTACTTTAAAGGCGTACTATAGTAAGGCGTAACATTGAATAAAGTAAGAAAGGTTTTTTTTTTTTTTTTGTTTAGTTCAGTGAAATATGAGTGATAAGACCCTTCACATTACCCAATATTCAGTAAGTTGACACATAAAAATTAAAAACACACACGTCTTTGTAAAATCAATGCGACAACGCATAAATAGCCTCGCTCAGGATCTAATAACTTGAATTCTTATGTAGTAAGTTGATTAGTACCTAATTACTGCTTTTAAGTAAGGTTTGGCTTCAAAAAAAATCACAGATTCACAGCTGTTAAAATAATAAAATGAGTTTCAAAAATGTAATTTATTTATTAATTAATCAACACATCCATTATATTCTCGGTTATTGCAACTACACCGACTTGTCTGAGAAAGTATTACAATGCTTTTAAAAAAACCAAATAAGCTCTAAAAAACTTTTTGTTTATTGAATTTTTCTTAGTTTTTATTTTAATTGATTACATATTTTTATACAAGAATACCTATGTAAGCAAAATAGAATATAATTTATTTTATATAATTACGAAATTTCGTCGACAAAATGTATTATTATCGTTTAAAAGGGCTATCGTTATCACGGGAAATACCATATAATATTAACTCATCAGATTACGAGTTTAAATTAATGCCATCAGTTAAAATGCGCTTGCATTTGAACAATTACTTCGAATAATAATAAATATGAACAAACAAAAACCTTAAAATATGCAAAATAAAATTTGGAATTTACATTTCCTACATTCCAAATAGGATTTTAATTTGACCCTGCTATTTATTGAATTATCAAAAAACAAAAAAATATTCAAATGCGAGAAGTTCCTATATGTTTAGTTAATGTTTGTTAATATTTAGTTTATATACTCACATACACAAAACAATAGAAATATAATAAATAATCAGTCATTAGATGACATACTCAATGTAAATTGTTAGATACGATTATGTTATAAACCATTTCTTACTCAATAAAATATTATAATAAAATATAATACATATTCTAATGAATTAAAAAATAAATATTATTTTTCCAGAAATTCGGTAAAATTGCAGACCAAATTATCAACCCAAAATGGACATTAATTGTAAAGTATAGATTTTATTTTAAAAAATAAACTAAATTGTTTATATAAAAATTTTTTTTTATAATTTGAATTTTAATATTATGTTATTCAGGATCCAGATTCAAAAAAAAAGGTAAGGTGATTTCACTAGGTAGAGAAAAGTTGTAATTAATTATTTTAATATAATAAGAATTTTAAACTTTTTAATTTTAAATTGTATTCAGATAAATGATTCCGACCCATCCGATAACACGGTAAAAGAGGTAAGACAATTTCAATCAATAAAAACTATATTATTTTGTAATATCTGTAATAATATGATGGATTATAATTGTTTTTGTTTGTTGTTCTTTTTTAAACTCGAATTTCTCTCGGAGTGATTGAAGTTCACAATTTATGAGAACTGTACTTGCCACATTGGCACAATTCAATAATTGTCATCTTAAACAATACTGTCAAGCCACTCTAGATCGTTGCGTATACTGTGTATTATATCATGAACAAAATTCAAAATCATAAAGTTTTTGTATTAAATATTGAACTATCTATACTGCGTTTTTAAAAATAAAAATAATAAATTAGGTAGTTTTATAATGAACTGCCCTAATATAGCGGCTTTGCCCGTGTGCAGTTTTGTTCTTGTTGCAAATTCCATATAGTCTAATATACTCTAATCATTTGTATCTCGATTTGAGTGTATTTCAGTTTTAGTATACCTCAGTTCACTGACAAATCGGCGTTAGTTTACCAAGCTTTCTAATATAATTCGACCTAGATGTGCAACCGCAAGTCGCAGATAGGATTTACCAGTTCGAATATTATTTAATATGATCTAAACTTCTTACCCTCAAATCTTTTCAGACATCTCTAAAAACAATCTCAGAGATTTTCGTCAAATTCAATTTTGCTGTTTTTGAGTATACAAGATACATACATACATTAGGTTTTTAAGATAAAGTTTCTTTATTCGAGGCCATAATATAATTTATACGACGCATGCTTGTATCTGATTTGCCCGAGTAACCAATAGAAACCATTTATAAATCAAAAAATTTAAATAATTTTAATTATTGTATTATAATATGTATTATAATATTTACATATTATATTCAATTTACACCATGAATCTCAAGATCCATTTTTGACCACATCTTTAAAATGAAAATATCGGAAAATTCTTTCTTATTACACAACTAGAGAACTAAAAGAATCACTATTCCAAATTTCAGGTTCGTGCGTTTTGTAGTTTTTGGGATGTAAAGATGAGTGAGTGAGTGGTATTTGGATTTTATATAAATAGATAGATATAAAATATGGGAAGAATTCAATTTTTATAAACCACCGATCTATTAAAACATAATACTGTAATACTGCCCAAATTATGATTATAAAACACAGTGTTTGTGTTCCAAAAACAAAAAGAATTTCGTTAGGAAATATTTCATTGTAATGTTTTAGAATGATGAAAATCAAATACAACCAAGTACACCAAATAATGATAACGAAGGAAGACCCAAGAAAAACAATAAAAGAAGGCGTAAGAAATCAAATAATAAAGGAAAAAGTAATAAAAGAAAACAAAATAATATAAGACGTAATGGAAGACGTAATGGAAGACGTAATGGAAGACACAGATGGTACAAAATGGTTACAGTGGATTATTTACTAGTAAGCAAACTAATATTTCTTTATTAAAATTGAATATATTTTTATATTAATTTATGTTACTTAAATATATGAGAATACAAATAAATTCCTTTTTTACATTTCTGTATTTAAAAAACCAGTCTTCCAACTTAGACTAAAATAGCATTAATTAATAAGTAATTAGACATTTTGGTAAGGTTAATTTACCAGAATATAGAAATCATGAAAATGAACAGAACATTGTACTGATATTGGGCGATGGCGAAGAACGAAAAATTGAATTGAATGAACATGTTGAAGCACGATCAATGAAAAATGTAAGAATTATTTTGAAACTTAATAGAAATAAAGAATAAATATCAGCAAATACATATTTATATTGTAGATCTAATATTATTTTGAAATTGTCAGTAAGTACATAATGTGTGCACCAATTAGGAATATAATAATATTATAGTTATAAAAATCAAAACTACAAAAACCGTTAAACATTTTACAATTACATTAAAATGAAAAATTAATTATTTAAATTGGTATGCCATATCTAACTTTATTTAAAAATTTTTTCAGTTAAATAATAACCAATTAATACGGAAAAAAAGAGATTACAATAATACATTTGAACTTCAAAATAAATTACAAACCAAAAATGTTAAACAGGAAGATTTGAAAGAAAATGAAAAAGATAAATTAAATATCGAAGCAAACGCAAACGATCATAGTCAAGAAGAAGAAAGACAAAATGAAAAATTAGAAAATGAACAAAATGTTAAAAAGAAGAAAATTTATAAAACCCTTGGAAAGTCCAGAGGCCCCAATAGTTATGATAAGGAATTAAGTCTAACTGACAATTTAGAAGACGATGAAAATAGTATGAACAGTAATAGTATTGAAAATAGCAATGAAAACATGAACTTTTTAAATTTAAAAAATTCAAATAAAAACAAATTTCACCACTTTCTAAAAAATAAAATACATCCGACAAATAAATCACGAAACAAACTAAGGCGCCCAAACTATGCACAAAAACTAGGTAAAACTCCAGGCAACAATTATAGTAAAACGGAAAGATCACCACTGACAACTGTTAAACAAAAGCCTGACAGTTCAAAGAACTTAACAAAAATATCAAAATATCAACCAAAATTGACCACAAAAGGAAACGCTGACACTGCCACCGACATCCCTGAACTCAGTGAAATTGATTCAATGATGAATGAAATGAACTCAAATACAGATGAAAATTTAGATAGTCAGAATAATGACTTATATACATCATCAATAGATACACAACTAGAAATTCCAAATTACAGCGATATTGCAGATAATAAAGAATGGGAGATTTTGAACAATATAAGACATCCAGTAAAATCTAAATCAAAAAAAAAAGGAAAAATACAGCCACATGAAAATAAAAAACACCAAAACCAAAATAAACAAAAGATAACTAAACCGATAGCATCAAAAACTATTAACGAAAAAGGATCAAATCAGAAAACAATTAAACTAAACTCGCCAAACACAAAGGATATACTGATAATATCATATGATGAACCAGAAAATACAACAAAAGTAAACTCTGATACTGCCGAAAACATCCCTGAACCTGATGAAATTGATACTATAATGAATGCATTGGACTCGAATTCCGATGAAAAACTAGATGACCAGACTAATGGATCATATCCATCGTCATTAGAAACAAAACAGGAAATTCCAAATTACAGCGATATCGAAGATATTAAAGAACATGATATTTTAAACAATATAAAGCATCCGTCAAAACCTAAATCTAAAAAGTTGATAAAAAACCAGTCAGATGATAATGATGTAATACCAAAAAAGTTAAAACAAAAATTAACTCCATCGTTAGAATCAAATAATAATAACGAAAAAGGACCTCTACAGAAATCTATTAAGCCACTCGCACCAAATTTAAACGAAATACCAATAAAAACAAATGACGTACCAAAACTAACCACATTAGGAAATTATGATAAATTAATAAACCCCCCAGAACAGGAGGAAATCGATAATTTAATGGATGCAATGGCCTCGAATTCCGATGAAGAACTAGATGACCAGACCAATGGATCATATCCATCGTCATTAGAAACAAAACAGGAAATTCCAAATTACAGCGATATCGAAGATATTAAAGAACATGATATTTTAAACAATATAAAGCATCCGTCAAAACCTAAATCTAAAAAGTTGATAAAAAACCAGTCAGATGATAATGATGTAATACCAAAAAAGTTAAAACAAAAATTAACTCCATCGTTAGAATCAAATAATAATAACGAAAAAGGACCTCTACAGAAATCTATTAAGCCACTCGCACCAAATTTAAACGAAATACCAATAAAAACAAATGACGTACCAAAACTAACCACATTAGGAAATTATGATAAATTAATAAACCCCCCAGAACAGGAGGAAATCGATAATTTAATGGATGCAATGGCCTCGAATTCCGATGAAGAACTAGATGACCAGACCAATGGATCATATCCATCGTCATTAGAAACAAAACAGGAAATTCCAAATTACAGCGATATCGAAGATATTAAAGAACATGATATTTTAAACAATATAAAGCATCCGTCAAAACCTAAATCTAAAAAGTTGATAAAAAACCAGTCAGATGATAATGATGTAATACCAAAAAAGTTAAAACAAAAATTAACTCCATCGTTAGAATCAAATAATAATAACGAAAAAGGACCTCTACAGAAATCTATTAAGCCACTCGCACCAAATTTAAACGAAATACCAATAAAAACAAATGACGTACCAAAACTAACCACATTAGGAAATTATGATAAATTAATAAACCCCCCAGAACAGGAGGAAATCGATAATTTAATGGATGCAATGGACTCGAATTCCGATGAAAAACTAGATGACCAGACCAATGGATCATATCCATCGTCATTAGAAACAAAACAGGAAATTCCAAATTACAGCGATATCGAAGATATTAAAGAACATGATATTTTAAACAATATAAAGCATCCGTCAAAACCTATATCTAAAAAGTTGATAAAAAAGCAGTCAGATGATAATGATGAACTACCAAAAAAGTTAAAACAAAATTTAACTCCATCGTTAGAATCAAATAATAATAACGAAAAAGGACCTCTACAGAAATCTATTAAGCCACTCGCACCAAATTTAAACGAAATCCCAATAAAAACAAAAGACGTACCAATACTAACCACAGGAGGAAATTATGATAAATTAATAAACACCCCAGAACAGGAGGAAATCGATAATATAATGAACACAATGAACACGATTTCTGATGAAAAACATAATGATTGTAATAATGTATTACATCTATGGAAATTTCCAATGGAAATCAAACAACCGTCACATACAGCTTTCAATAATAATATTCTTCATGAGATAATTAATCCAAAACCTTTTGAATTAAAAACTGGGAAACATATACCCGATGATGATAATTCAATTGTTTTAGTTCCCAAGACGAATAAACGTCCAAATTCTGAAAAAGGATTATCAAGCGATGAAATTGTTGATAAGAAAAGTAAAATGGACATTGATGGTATACTTCATAATGTACCCAAACCAAATCCTTTTGAAACGGAACCTTTGAAGGATATATCCAATGATGATGCTGTTAATGGTAAAATTAACGTTATACCTACTAAAAGTATTTTGAAAGACGATAAAGATATTTCTCATAATATACCTGAGAATCCAAAAATAAATGATCTAGTCGATAAATCTGTTCCAAGTTCAATTGAGGAATTATTAAAAAGTCCCATAGATGGAGATGGCTTACAACTACCTTCAATAAACTTTGATGAAACACCTATTAAACCGATTGAAAAACATGACAAGAGTCTACCAAACTTAGAAGACTATAATATTGCATTTTCAATTCCACATGACCACAATAGTCAAAATATTGTAGAAAAAAATAAATCTATGGAAAAATTAAATCCCAATTCAAAGGCAATAATCGAAAAACCTAATATTACTGAAGAATCTATTTCTAATAAACACGATAAACCAAATGTTCATGGTAAACCCGAATCTATAGGTAATCCTGGAAAGGATATCGAAATATTAGACATTTCGGACGATTACAACAACTTGGGTGGTATTACAATGGAAGATTCTGATTTGAAAAAAATTGATGATAAATCACCAACTATAAAAGGCAAACAAGATAAGAGGATAACGAAAAAGAATAAATCGAATCCCAAAGTTAATTACAAGTCAACTAAACCAGAGATAGCTGATAGTATTGGTCATATGAATTTCACTGATGTTGAGTCAGATGATCAATCATCGTTTATTAGTGATCATTCAAATGAAAAGGCCAAAGAAGTGAAACCAAGTGATAAATCAATTGTTTTAGTTCCCAAGACGAATAAACGTCCAAATTCTGAAAAAGGATTATCAAGCGATGAAATTGTTGATAAGAAAAGTAAAATGGACATTGATGGTATACTTCATAATGTACCCAAACCAAAACCTTTTGAAACGGAACCTTTGAAACCTATATCCAATGATGATGTTGTTGATGGTAACGTTTACGTTATACCTGCTAAAAGTATTTTGAAAGACGATAAAGGTATTTCTCATAATATACCTGAGAATCAAAAAATAAATGATCTAGTCGATAAATCTGTTCCAAGTTCAATTGAGGAATTATTAAAAACTCCCATAGATGGAGATAGCTTACAACTACCTTCAATAAACTTTGATGAAACACCTATTAAACCGAAGGAAAAACATGACAAGAGTCTACCAAACTTAGAAGACTATAATATTGCATTTTCAATTCCACATGACCACAATAGTCAAAATATTGTAGAAAAAAATAAATCTATGGAAAAATTAAATCCCAATTCAAAGGCAATAATCGAAAAACCTAATATTAATGAAGAATCTATTTCTAATAAACACGATAAACCAAATGTTCATGGTAAACCCGAATCTATAGGTAATCCTGGAAAGGATATCGAAATATTAGACATTTTGGACGATTACAACAACTTGGGTGGTATTACAATGGAAGATTCTGATTTGAAAAAAATTGATGATAAATCACCAACTATAAAAGGCAAACAAGATAAGAGGATAACGAAAAAAAATAAATCGAATCCCAAAGTTAATTACAAGTCAACTAAACCAGAGATAGCTGATAGTATTGGTCATATGAATTTCACTGATGTTGAGTCAGATGATCAATCATCGTTTATTAGTGATCATTCAAATGAAAAGGCCAAAGAAGTGAAACCAAGTGATAAATCAATTGTTTTAGTTCCCAAGACGAATAAACGTCCAAATTCTGAAAAAGGATTATCAAGCGATGAAATTGTTGATAAGAAAAGTAAAATGGACATTGATGGTATACTTCATAATGTACCCAAACCAAATCCTTTTGAAACGGAACCTTTGAAACCTATATCCAATGATGATGTTGTTGATGGTAACGTTTACGTTATACCTGCTAAAAGTATTTTGAAAGACGATAAAGGTATTTCTCATAATATACCTGAGAATCAAAAAATAAATGATCTAGTCGATAAATCTGTTCCAAGTTCAATTGAGGAATTATTAAAAACGCCCATAGATGGAGATGGCTTACAACTACCTTCAATAAACTTTGATGAAACACCTATTAAATCGATGGAAAAACATGACAAGAGTCTACCAAACTTAGAAGACTATAATATTGCATTTTCAATTCCACATGACCACAATAGTCAAAATATTGTAGAAAAAAATAAATCTATGGAAAAATTAAATCCCAATTCAAAGGCAATAATCGAAAAACCTAATATTACTGAAGAATCTATTTCTAATAAACATGATAAACCAAATGTTTATAGTAAACCCGAATCTATAGGTAATCCTGGAAAGGATATCGAAATATTAGACATTTCGGACGATTACAACAACTTGGGTGGTATTACAATGGAAGATTCTGATTTGAAAAAAATTGATGATAAATCACCAACTATAAAAGGCAAACAAGATAAGAGGATAACGAAAAAGAATAAATCGAATCCCAAAGTTAATTACAAGTCAACTAAACCAGAGATAGCTGATAGTATTGGTAATATGAATTTCACTGATGTTGAGTCAGATGATCAATCATCGTTTATTAGTGATCATTCATATGAAAAGTCCAAAGAACTGAAACCAAGTGATAAATCAATTGTTTTAGTTCCCAAGACGAAAAAACGTCCAAATTCTGAAAAAGGATTATCAAGCGATGAAATTGTTGATAAGAATATTAAAATGGACATTGATGGTATACTTCATAATGTTCCCAAACCAAATCCTTTTGAATCGGAACCTTTGAAACCTATATCCAATGATGATGTTGTTGATGGTAACGTTAACGTTATACCTGCTAAAAGTATTTTGAAAGACGATAAAGGTATTTCTCATAATATACCTGAGAATCCAAAAATAAATGATCTAGTCGATAAATCTGTTCCAAGTTCAATTGAGGAATTATTAAAAAGTCCCATAGATGACGATGGCTTACAACTACCTTCAATAAACTTTGATGAAACACCTATTAAACCGATGGAAAAACATGACATAATTCTACCAAACTTAGAAGACTATAATATTGCATTATCCAAGCCTATATCCAATGATGATGCTGTTAATGGTAAAATTAACGTTATACCTACTAAAAGTATTTTGAAAGACGATAAAGGTATTTCTCATAATATACCTGAGAATCCAAAAATAAATGATCTAGTCGATAAATCTGCTCCAAGTTCAATTGAGGAATTATTAAAAAGTCCCATAGATGGAGATGGCTTACAACTACCTTCAATAAACTTTGATGAAACGCCTATTAAACCGATGGAAAAACATGACAAGAGTTTACCAAACTCAGAAGACTATAATATTGCATTTTCAATTCCACATGACCACAATAGTCAAAATATTGTAGAAAAAAATCAATCTAAGGAAAAATTAAATCCCAATTCAAAGGCAATAATCGAAAAACCTAATATTACTGAAGAATCTATTTCTAATAAACACGATAAACCAAATGTTCATAGTAAACCCGAATCTATAGGTAATCCTGGAAAGGATATCGAAATATTAGACATTTCGGACGATTACAACAACTTGGGTGGTATTACAATGGAAGATTCTGATTTGAAAAAAATTGATGATAAATCACCAACTATAAAAGGCAAACAAGATAAGAGGATAACGAAAAAGAATAAATCGAATCCCAAAGTTAATTACAAGTCAACTAAACCAGAGATAGCTGATAGTATTGGTAATATGAATTTCACTGATGTTGAGTCAGATGATCAATCATCGTTTATTAGTGATCATTCATATGAAAAGTCCAAAGAACTGAAACCAAGTGATAAATCAATTGTTTTAGTTCCCAAGACGAATAAACGTCCAAATTCTGAAAAAGGATTATCAAGCGATGAAATTGTTGATAAGAATATTAAAATGGACATTGATGGTATACTTCATAATGTTCCCAAACCAAATCCTTTTGAATCGGAACCTTTGAAACCTATATCCAATGATGATGTTGTTGATGGTAACGTTAACGTTATACCTGCTAAAAGTATTTTGAAAGACGATAAAGGTATTTCTCATAATATACCTGAGAATCAAAAAATAAATGATCTAGTCGATAAATCTGTTCCAAGTTCAATTGAGGAATTATTAAAAAGTCCCATAGATGAAGATGGCTTACAACTACCTTCAATAAACTTTGATGAAACACCTATTAAACCGATGGAAAAACATGACATAAGTCTACCAAACTTAGAAGACTATAATATTGCATTTTCAATTCCACATGACCAGAATAGTCAAAATATTGTAGAAATAAATAAATCTAAGGAAAAATTAAATCCCAATTCAAAGGCAATAATCGAAAAACCTAATATTACTGAAGAATCTATTTCTAATAAACACGATAAACCAAATGTTCATAGTAAACCCGAATCTATAGGTAATCCTGGAAAGGATATCGAAATATTAGACATTTCGGACGATTACAACAACTTGGGTGGTATTACAATAGAAGATTCTGATTTGAAAAAAATTGATGATAAATCACCAACTATAAAAGGCAAACAAGATAAGAGGATAACGAAAAAGAATAAATCGAATCCCAAAGTTAATTACAAGTCAACTAAACCAGAGATAGCTGATAGTATTGGTAATATGAATTTCACTGATGTTGAGTCAGATGATCAATCATCGTTTATTAGTGATCATTCATATGAAAAGTCCAAAGAACTGAAACCAAGTGATAAATCAATTGTTTTAGTTCCCAAGACGAAAAAACGTCCAAATTCTGAAAAAGGATTATCAAGCGATGAAATTGTTGATAAGAATATTAAAATGGACATTGATGGTATACTTCATAATGTTCCCAAACCAAATCCTTTTGAATCGGAACCTTTGAAACCTATATCCAATGATGATGTTGTTGATGGTAACGTTAACGTTATACCTGCTAAAAGTATTTTGAAAGACGATAAAGGTATTTCTCATAATATACCTGAGAATCAAAAAATAAATTATCTAGTCGATAAATCTGTTCCAAGTTCAATTGAGGAATTATTAAAAAGTCCCATAGATGAAGATGGCTTACAACTACCTTCAATAAACTTTGATGAAACACCTATTAAACCGATGGAAAAACATGACATAATTCTACCAAACTTAGAAGACTATAATATTGCATTATCCAAGCCTATATCCAATGATGATGCTGTTAATGGTAAAATTAACGTTATACCTACTAAAAGTATTTTGAAAGACGATAAAGGTATTTCTCATAATATACCTGAGAATCCAAAAATAAATGATCTAGTCGATAAATCTGCTCCAAGTTCAATTGAGGAATTATTAAAAAGTCCCATAGATGGAGATGGCTTACAACTACCTTCAATAAACTTTGATGAAACGCCTATTAAACCGATGGAAAAACATGACAAGAGTTTACCAAACTCAGAAGACTATAATATTGCATTTTCAATTCCACATGACCACAATAGTCAAAATATTGTAGAAAAAAATCAATCTAAGGAAAAATTAAATCCCAATTCAAAGGCAATAATCGAAAAACCTAATATTACTGAAGAATCTATTTCTAATAAACACGATAAACCAAATGTTCATAGTAAACCCGAATCTATAGGTAATCCTGGAAAGGATATCGAAATATTAGACATTTCGGACGATTACAACAACTTGGGTGGTATTACAATGGAAGATTCTGATTTGAAAAAAATTGATGATAAATCACCAACTATAAAAGGCAAACAAGATAAGAGGATAACGAAAAAGAATAAATCGAATCCCAAAGTTAATTACAAGTCAACTAAACCAGAGATAGCTGATAGTATTGGTAATATGAATTTCACTGATGTTGAGTCAGATGATCAATCATCGTTTATTAGTGATCATTCATATGAAAAGTCCAAAGAACTGAAACCAAGTGATAAATCAATTGTTTTAGTTCCCAAGACGAATAAACGTCCAAATTCTGAAAAAGGATTATCAAGCGATGAAATTGTTGATAAGAATATTAAAATGGACATTGATGGTATACTTCATAATGTTCCCAAACCAAATCCTTTTGAATCGGAACCTTTGAAACCTATATCCAATGATGATGTTGTTGATGGTAACGTTAACGTTATACCTGCTAAAAGTATTTTGAAAGACGATAAAGGTATTTCTCATAATATACCTGAGAATCAAAAAATAAATGATCTAGTCGATAAATCTGTTCCAAGTTCAATTGAGGAATTATTAAAAAGTCCCATAGATGAAGATGGCTTACAACTACCTTCAATAAACTTTGATGAAACACCTATTAAACCGATGGAAAAACATGACATAAGTCTACCAAACTTAGAAGACTATAATATTGCATTTTCAATTCCACATGACCACAATAGTCAAAATATTGTAGAAATAAATAAATCTAAGGAAAAATTAAATCCCAATTCAAAGGCAATAATCGAAAAACCTAATATTACTGAAGAATCTATTTCTAATAAACACGATAAACCAAATGTTCATAGTAAACCCGAATCTATAGGTAATCCTGGAAAGGATATCGAAATATTAGACATTTCGGACGATTACAACAACTTGGGTGGTATTACAATGGAAGATTCTGATTTGAAAAAAATTGATGATAAATCACCAACTATAAAAGGCAAACAAGATAAGAGGATAACGAAAAAGAATAAATCGAATCCCAAAGTTAATTACAAGTCAACTAAACCAGAGATAGCTGATAGTATTGGTAATATGAATTTCACTGATGTTGAGTCAGATGATCAATCATCGTTTATTAGTGATCAATCATATGAAAAGTCCAAAGAACTGAAACCAAGTGATAAATCAATTGTTTTAGTTCCCAAGACGAATAAACGTCCAAATTCTGAAAAAGGATTATCAAGCGATGAAATTGTTGATAAGAATATTAAAATGGACATTGATGGTATACTTCATAATGTTCCCAAACCAAATCCTTTTGAATCGGAACCTTTGAAACCTATATCCAATGATGATGTTGTTGATGGTAACGTTAACGTTATACCTGCTAAAAGTATTTTGAAAGACGATAAAGGTATTTCTCATAATATACCTGAGAATCAAAAAATAAATGATCTAGTCGATAAATCTGTTCCAAGTTCAATTGAGGAATTATTAAAAAGTCCCATAGATGAAGATGGCTTACAACTACCTTCAATAAACTTTGATGAAACACCTATTAAACCGATGGAAAAACATGACATAAGTCTACCAAACTTAGAAGACTATAATATTGCATTTTCAATTCCACATGACCAGAATAGTCAAAATATTGTAGAAATAAATAAATCTAAGGAAAAATTAAATCCCAATTCAAAGGCAATAATCGAAAAACCTAATATTACTGAAGAATCTATTTCTAATAAACACGATAAACCAAATGTTCATAGTAAACCCGAATCTATAGGTAATCCTGGAAAGGATATCGAAATATTAGACATTTCGGACGATTACAACAACTTGGGTGGTATTACAATAGAAGATTCTGATTTGAAAAAAATTGATGATAAATCACCAACTATAAAAGGCAAACAAGATAAGAGGATAACGAAAAAGAATAAATCGAATCCCAAAGTTAATTACAAGTCAACTAAACCAGAGATAGCTGATAGTATTGGTAATATGAATTTCACTGATGTTGAGTCAGATGATCAATCATCGTTTATTAGTGATCATTCATATGAAAAGTCCAAAGAACTGAAACCAAGTGATAAATCAATTGTTTTAGTTCCCAAGACGAATAAACGTCCAAATTCTGAAAAAGGATTATCAAGCGATGAAATTGTTGATAAGAATATTAAAATGGACTTTGATGGTATACTTCATAATGTTCCCAAACCAAATCCTTTTGAATCGGAACCTTTGAAACCTATATCCAATGATGATGTTGTTGATGGTAACGTTAACGTTATACCTGCTAAAAGTATTTTGAAAGACGATAAAGGTATTTCTCATAATATACCTGAGAATCAAAAAATAAATGATCTAGTCGATAAATCTGTTCCAAGTTCAATTGAGGAATTATTAAAAAGTCCCATAGATGAAGATGGCTTACAACTACCTTCAATAAACTTTGATGAAACACCTATTAAACCGATGGAAAAACATGACATAAGTCTACCAAACTTAGAAGACTATAATATTGCATTTTCAATTCCACATGACCACAATAGTCAAAATATTGTAGAAATAAATAAATCTAAGGAAAAATTAAATCCCAATTCAAAGGCAATAATCGAAAAACCTAATATTACTGAAGAATCTATTTCTAATAAACACGATAAACCAAATGTTCATAGTAAACCCGAATCTATAGGTAATCCTGGAAAGGATATCGAAATATTAGACATTTCGGACGATTACAACAACTTGGGTGGTATTACAATGGAAGATTCTGATTTGAAAAAAATTGATGATAAATCACCAACTATAAAAGGCAAACAAGATAAGAGGATAACGAAAAAGAATAAATCGAATCCCAAAGTTAATTACAAGTCAACTAAACCAGAGATAGCTGATAGTATTGGTAATATGAATTTCACTGATGTTGAGTCAGATGATCAATCATCGTTTATTAGTGATCATTCAAATGAAAAGGCCAAAGAAGTGAAACCAAGTGATAAATCAATTGTTTCAGTTCCCACGACGAATAAACTCCCAAATTCTGAAAAAGGGTTATTAACCAATGACACTTTTGATAAGAAGACTAAAATGGACGATCATTTTATTCGTCATAAAGTACTTCAACCAAATCCTTTTGAATCAGAAACTGGGAAACCTATATCCGATGATGGTGCTGTTAATAGTAAAAGTAACGTTATACCTATTCCATGTATTTCGAAAGACGAAGAGATTCCTGATATAAACAAAACTAAAGTTAAATTACCAAGTAGAATTATAATACAGAAAAAAACTGGTAATAATATAGTACCATCTACCAATGTACATGAAAACATTTTTCCAGGAAATTCTGAGAATGAAGTTAATTTATCAAATTCTAGCCAAAACATTTTTGAACCAAATTCACTCAACTCTAAAGCTTCTAACCCTGATAAACATATTTTAATTACTAATGAAGACGAACATTCATTGGTTTTAAATGTAATTGATAAACATAATAATAGTTTATTAGATGACGATGGAGAAATTAATTTTAATCCTGGTTGTGAAACCAGGCCTACCATGGATAAGTCCAAATATATTCCAGTTAATCGAATCAAACAACAAAATAATGCATTTTTGGGAACAGTACCCAACATGGAACATGCCATGAATAAAGCCCCTTATACGTCAGATTATAATTTACTGAAAGAAGATGATAATCCATATGGTTACATGTTACCCAAGTTTAGCACAAAATATATTGAGGGTGGTGATTCAAATAATTTATGGGAAACCGTTCCGCCAAAAAAAAATCACGATTTCAGTACACATAAGGAATCTGATTATTATAATAATGATATAAATCAGTCCGTGGATTATACTATGAATAATATTATTTCTAGTCACCTTAATAATGATAAAAAAATTATATCAGAAACTGAAACTGTCAAAAATAGTTATGATGATAAATTAAATACTGATATTCACAGTAAAATGTACGATGATTTCGTCAAGAAAATGTCAGAACAATTGTTTAAAAAAATCGATAATATTGATGATAAAATTTCTAAATTGGATAAATTATCTAATAATAGTTCTTACATCACACAAAGTTACAATTTAAGATCTGATGATCCTGGTAGAAAAAAAATTATACTTATGAATGATTTACCTATTAGTAAACCAAAACACAATATAGAAGAGCCTGATTCAGAGTTAGATTCAAAAATAAATAATTCAGTAGAAAGTCATGAAACAATGATAAGTGATAAAAGTAATGATGAAAATGTAATCAAAGAATCTACAAAACCAAAGAAAGATAAACATAAAAAACATAAGATGCTCAATAAAAAACATAAAAAGCATTCAAAACACGACAGGCATAAAAAGAAGAAAAATCATAAGAAAAATGATAAAAATGATAGTTACAATGATGATGAAGATGATAATAATGATGACGTTGATAGCCGGTATAAAAAATATAAAATTCATAAGAAAAATGATAAGAAGTATGATGATGACAAGCATAAAAAGAATAAAAGCCGCAAAAAAAAAGAAATGATTGATAGCGATGTTGATGATGATGATGATAATGGTAGGGTTAAAAAGAAAAGTCGTAAGAAAAATTATATTAATGATGATGAAGTCGAAGTTTCACGAAATAAAAAAACTGATGGTAAAAAGAAAAACAAGATGAAAGCAAACATATCACCCAATGAAAGCAATGAAGTCAATAATAGTTCTAGTCTTCAAATTAACAGTGAAGATGATGATTCTGTAAAAGGTTTAAAAATTAAAAGTAAATCAAAAAATTCCAAAAAAACCAATTCAACTAAAAGAAAAAAATCGTCTCCTAAGAAAAAGTCAAAACATATGAAACATTCCAAATCTATCAAGTATAACAATAAAGAGATTCCTGTAGATGTCAGTGATGAAGATTCAAGTCGTAATAATAATCAAAATAATGTACCAAAAGAGAAAACGCATAAACAAAAAAAGCGTAAACATAAAAAGCATAAGAAACCATTAAAAACTAGTAAAACTTACAAATATAAAGAAATCCCCGTAGATAACGAAGATAAAATTTCAGATGAAAATAATGTTAATTTAGAAGAAACCTATAATATAAACATTACTAATGATGATAATGCACTGAAACAGAAAAGGCTTAGACATAAAAGACTTAAAAAAATGAAGAATATTGATATTAATATTGTAAAAGACACTGACAATCAAGTTCTAAATAGAGATACTAATACGGTGAGACTCGTTTTTTAATTCCGTTGGGGCTGAATTTCCTTTATGTACTTATTCAAAACGATCTGTTAAAATAAATACATAAATATTAATCATGGTTTTTTTTTCAGAAGCGTGGATATCAATTTTACACTTTTTATCCACAATATCGATACACAAATCCATTTGCAAGACTTTTTTACTAACACATAATACGTACGATAATACTTTATACAACATGATAATAACTTGGAAAAATACCTTGTTATTATTGTTCCATAAATAAACAGTTTAAACGCAGGTAAATTATATTAAACATCTTTATTAGATTTATTATTTATACATATTACATATTATATACAGGTTACGTACTGAAATTGTTCGACAGTAAAAATACCTACATATTTTTTGCACCTCTATATTTAAACTTTTTTTTCTAGGTACCTGTACTTTAAGTACTGACCAAATTTATAAACTGCGACTGTATTATTATCAATGAACACGTTTCTACATCTGGATTTCAAAACATAAAGTTAATAAAATATAAATAATATAATACATAGAAATATATTATAATCTTATGAATAATTACGTTTACTTATTTTATCATTTAAGATTTTGATAACTATTAATTCAATATTAATATATTATTTAGCAATTTAAATAAAAAAATGTTTAAGCAAATTGTAAGTATGTAATGAGTTGCAGTGTAAAATTTAAATACGCTCATAATTTCTTTTTAAATTTAAATGTATTAATATAGATCGATTCACATTAATATTAAAATTTAAAGCTAATACAACATAAATCTAGTTCATTGAACGCAAATAGAGACAAATTTGTGTCAAATTCTCTTGACATGTGTATAATATATTATCGTAGGTAATACATTAATTTTATGCACATCCAAGTACCCAACTAATTTTTATTTTATTTGTTTATTTAACGCCAATCGGCAATTCAAGAGATTTACAATACAAGTTATATACAGAGAAGATTATAGTAATAATGTGATAGAGTAATCTTATATAAAAAACGAGGTGAAACATAGTAATTTACAGAGCAAACAACTAAATATTTAGTACAAATAAAAACATAACAATATAATAAAACTAAAAAATAACCAACTTAAGTAAGATATACATTTAAAATATCATGGCCTATAAGTTATTGAGCAGACGAAGCATTCTGTGTAAAGGATGGTTATGACTTATGAGAGTAGTTGAAACGGTGAGAAGGGACAAGAAAAAGAGAGTGATTTCTAGTGTAATGTACAGGAACGCGGAAAGAGATAGAGGAAAGAAGGTCAGAAAGAAAGAAAGAAAGTCATTAAGTTCAAATCGTAATTAATTAATATCAGTATTAAAAAACAACTAAATTGCAATATCACATTATATTAAATGTTTCTATGTAATTTTGTATGTCAAATTAGTTATTTTGTTATCAAAATATGAAATAAATTAACTAATTTATGCTCTAAACGAATAGATAGTAGTACATATAAAGTAGGTTCACTATTATGCATGATAATATAGGCTGACACTTACTGTACGTCGGTACGAAAATCCTAATATTACGCCACTGGATGGCGTATGAAAAGTTGAAAACATTTTAATAATGATACCGCGACTTCGATTAGGCACGGCTGAAAATGTGTTAATACCTACCTAATATATACTAATAATATTTTTTTTTCATCAGTACAATCTGACCTTGAATTTGAATTAGTTATGGATAATATTGAAAAAGTACGACGTTTTCTTATCGTGTTATCAGTTAATTAAGCTAGTCATGAAATCTCTGAAGTTGGGCGTCAGTGCAATATGATCTCATTGAAAAATCCAGACTCAACTTTATTGAATAAAAATGATGGATAATTCGTGAATAAACTTTTAAATGGCTACATTGACAGTCCTCATTTATTACAAATATAATATATTTTATTGTACCACAAAGATGTTGATCTCAAAAATCGAATCATGCTCGGTTAGTAATCCGAAATGTTGCTGACAGACAGAAAAAAAAACACATCATTGTAATACCAATAAATTCTTTAATCAATAAAATCTAAAACATGTATATAGGTATATATTTTATATTAACACAATAATATTATTTTTCCCAATAATACAATATAAGATAAAACATATTATCACAGGAAATTATTAAAAATGTACAAAAGAAAATCCATTATTAAAATATTATAAAATATAATACCATTAAAATTTATTGCGATAGTATTGTCGCACTATTTTAAATACGTTACTGAAGGGATATTAAAAATTACAAATGTTAAAAATATTTGTGTAAACAAATTAAAAACGAACTGGTATTTTTTTCTATTTGGGTATTATTTCCTCGGACATTTAAATTTTTTTTTGGAGGGGAGTATTATTTCTATACCAAGTATTTTTTCCAGCTACCAATATAATAGTAGGTACCTAAATTATAAATATTCTTAGAGTTTGTCGCATGTGATACCGCGGATATTGTTTGTCGGTGGATTGGTATATGTTTGTGGTTCGTACAATTTCATCTACCCTTACCACCACGGCAATTGCAGCACAAAACGACGAAGCCAGCGATGAGCAGACCGAACAGCGCCATATAATAGTATTTGGTGAAGGCCGTCGACTGCGACGGGGACGTGGTAGTTGCTGTCAACGCTGATGCCGGAGAATGGAATGAACGGCTGCCGACGGACGTCTGCCGACCATCCGCCGCGGTGGCCGTTACCAGGATCCCGTAGGTCTTACCACCAGCCAGCTCCACCACTAGGAAACGATAAAGGAATATTATATCGTAATATAATATATATTATATAGGTTTCTTATTTTTACCTATATTTGACCATATTAAGTGAAGAGGATAGAGAGAGAGCTTACAGGAACTTGGATTCCTAAAATAATTCTAATCCACCCAAAAAAGTTTTACGTTTTACAGTATTATATTATTCTATCGCTTGTAATTAATATTGAAATGATTACTTATTAATTTATTATTTTAAAATTATTCAATAATAATAAATAATTGCATAACCAATAACAAATAATTAGTCTAGTTTCGAGTCTTTTTTTTCGACCCACGACTTGTTTCAACTCTGAAATAAAAATTAAGTACAAACGTACCTGTTCAAAAAAACAATTTACTGTTATTAATTTAATATATAGGTGTAAAAGCGAAGGATAACATTTAGTTTATTCATGTAAAACAAAATGTACTAGGACTAATTTTTGTGCATATTTTAAAGTTAAGTTATAATTTATGAATAATGAATGTTAAAATTGTATAGACACCGACACATCATCATAGATTGATTAAATATTTTGTCGTATATTGTAGATATAATATAATATATAATTGTATAATATATGCAGTGGCGCACCCAAGGGAAGGCGGCTTTGAGGCTTAAGCCCCCCCCCCCAAAAAAAAAAAAAATTTTTTACATTCAATTACACAATATTATTATAGGAAATATAGCATAACAAAACAATGATAAATGATAATGTTTTATTTTGAAATGTTGTTATTATGTTAGATACACATATAATATATACATAATAGTTCAATACTACGCGATAAGATGTGTGACAGTCAATATACTCTGTGGTGGTTATCGTCGATTTTTATTTCGTTGAAAATTATTTTTAGATTTATAGATACTATAACGATTACGTACGGTCGACTTTGTTAACTACGATAACAATGATAATTATGACTTTCGACTGTCTGTGGCATGAAAATCTCGTTTAGATAATTCAGTCTGTTCGATTTTTTCTTTGTGATAGCCTGTGTCGAATGTGCGTATGAGTAAAAAAAAAGCTGAGTTAAAATGAGTCAAAAACGAAAGAAACCTGAAGTTGGTACTAGTAGTACTCTTCTTAAGTATGTTAGTATTAAACCAAAAATTTCAACTATCAAAACGTTACCAGTAAGTACACGAGCGCTTCCCCGCAGTAAGGCATTTGGCTGGCTTATCATAATATAATAACGTTATCATAGAGTTAATCTGCGACAACAGTTAAATTTTTTCTGATCATATCTAAAAATAATAATTATAATAAAATTGGTTTTTTATGCTTAATTCAAGTATTTGAAAAAATTTCCGGAACTTCAAAAGTTATGGCAATTCAAAGTTGTCAATATTAAAAAATATAGGTACTTTTGAATGGACGAGCGAGTGACCACGCTGGGACTAAATATACTTAGAAACAATATTGAGGAAAACCGAGGTTTACCTGAGGTAGTTGACAAAGCAAATAGGGGGATATTTTCGATTTGCGGAGCGGAGCGACGGCGCCGAGGAGCGTAGCGACGAGTGCCGATACACGCGTAATCGCTGCAACTTTGATATGCCATAACTTGTGAGAACAGTGAGTTTCCGGAAATTTTTGTAACTGGGAAATGGTGTAGCTGGTGGCACGCAAATTTAAAAAGTTTGAGAACCGCTGGTCTAAAGCCCTGTTCACACGATCAAATAATTTGTCAAATATTTGACATTCGTCAAACTCCAAATATTTTAGAACCATTTCTAAAATATTTGAAGTTTGACATACATCAAATATTTGATAAATTATTTGATCGTGTGAACGGGGCTTAAAGAAACTAAAAATTATACAATACAAACTATTACAAATAATACATTTCTATGTATCAAAATTAGAAAATTCTGAATTTTACATATATTTATATTTTTTTTAATTCTATGTTAACGTTGTTATTTGATAAGCCAGCCAAATGCCTTACTGCGGGGAAGCGCTCGTGTAAGTACAAGTACGGCTGAGAGGTCGTTTTCCACACTACGGCGAATTAAAACCTATCTCCGGAACACAATGGGACAGTCACGTTTAAATGGTCTGGAAAATCTCCACATACATCGAGAAATACAAATTAAAGAATCCGAAGTATTAAAAATTCTTTCTGAATAGGAAACTTTCCCAGGAAACTTAAATTTTAAATTAATTTGTCATAATATTTAGTTATAAATATAATTATATAAATATTAAATACATAATAATATAACATATGATAATAATAAACAAAAGTGGTTATTTAAAAATGAGTTTTAATTGTTTACTTGTGTGTAAGGGAAAAAGAAAAATTATTAAGCCCCCCCAAGCAAAAATTCTATGTGCGCGCCTGAATATATGTATGTAGTATGTGTAGCCATGTAGGAATAATATATTTAAACAACTTAGTAATTAAA